CTAGTTCTTGGTCTTGTATTAGTTCTAGTTTTAGTTCAATTAGAATATACAACATAGTGATATCTTATCCCTTAATACATCTCATAATATAAATACGGCCTTATAAATCAACAATTAATGTGTACATTTTTCGTCTTTTATAACATTTTTTGCCATAAAGACAACGTCAATATATTTTTTTTTCATCATGTTCAAAATACATAGTTACATGAATACTTTAACGTTAAATCCTTTCAAATGCATAATACATATAAGGAGATATATTATAAAAACGAAAATTGTCATAAATTTTATGATAGCGCGCCCGCTCGAAGGTTAAAGTCATGTAAAGTTTAAATAGACAACCTAAGCCTTGACGTCACAGAGATGGGCGGAGCCTATACTGACTCCAAACATTTTTGTTGTTAACGGTAAATCACCATATGCAATTTTCCATTAGTGTTAAATGTTTAAATAAAATAAACTAAGTGATGACATTTCAAATGACATTTTTTGGCGATTTATCTTAGCGACTGTGGTTAGCAACGAAATTGTTTGGAGTCAGTATAATTAAAGACGATTGCTGTCAAATTTTGATATATACAGGGTGTCACACAAAAAACGCCCCAACGTGTAACTCTGTTATTTACATTCCGATTTTTATGACCCAGGTATCAAATAAAATGGTTTTATAAATACTATGATTCATGCTACAAATACATTTTTTCCAACGCCATCTTCAATTTCAAACAATTATTAACTTTTGTTTTTCAAATTGCTGCGTATATTTTTCTTCACGTCATTGGATAGAGATTGTTTTTCTGAATCCATTGATCTACAATACATCCATTTTAAATGTAATTTTGGCAGAAAAAAGGCACCTGTATATACAGGTTGTCACACAAGAATGCCGCAAGCTGTAACTCTGTCATTTACATTCCGATTTTCATGAGCGAAATATCAAATGAAAAGGTTTGATGAATACTATGATTCATGCTACAAATAAACTTTTTCCAACGCCATCTTCAATTTCAAATAGATTATCAACTTTTGATTTTCAAATTGCTCGGTATGTTTTTCTTCACGCAATTGGATAGAGATTCTATTTCTGAATCCATTAACGTACAACACATCAACATTAATTGTAATTGTAGCATAGAAAACCATTAAAATAGTTTCCTAACATTCTCTTAAAGTTACTTGTGTTATACTGTAGTGTGCCACGGAATAAATAAAAAAAAACAACTTATAAGTATCATTTACAACTGCTTCGGGCATAGATATAACATTCCTGATGACTGTTATCAGTTTTGCGTGTTATTTTTTTTCCATGGCACACTACAGTATTACAGAAGCGACCAAGACAATGTTCGGAAAATGTTTTAACTGGTTTTCTCTGCTAAAATTACAATTAATGTTAAAGTATTGTACAGCAATGGGTTCAGAAAAAAAATCTCTATCCAATAACCTGAAGAAAAATATACCGAGCAATTTGAAAATCAAAACTTGATAATCGCATGAAATTGAAGATGGCGTTGGAAAAAGTTTATTTGTAGCATAGTATTTATCAAACCATTTCATTTGATACCTCGCTCATAAAAATCGGAAGGTAAATGACAGAGTTATAGCTTGGGGCGTTTTTTATCTGACACCCTGTATAAATAAGAAATAGCGGCCATCTTGAAAATATAAAACAAAAAAATATGGGTTGTAAAACTTATTCATTATTGGTACTTTTTTGTCTCTTTAGTTTTTTCCTTAACGATAATAGTTTTAGCGTAAAAAACTAAAATATGCTACCTTGTACTGTAAAGCGCTACTATTATTAAAAAAAATTTTTTCTTTATAGCTGGCTATGGAAGTTGTACACTTACTAGGATTTAGTACTAACTAAATAATACCAATTAATTTTGATTTTCATCACAAAAACCATAAATAAGGTATTTACCTAATTTTTTTAATAATAGTAGCGCTTTACAGTACTTGGTAGCATATTTTAGTTTTTTACGCTAAAACTATTATCGTTAAGGAAAAAACTAAAGAGACAAAAAAGTAGCAATAATGAATAAGCTTTACAACCCATATTTTTTATGTTTTATATTTTCAAGATGGCCGCCATTTCTTATTTATACAGGGTGTCACATAAAAAACGCCGGTATGAACAAATTACGTTATTTTAAACAATATTAAAAAATTGATACTCTTGCTTAATAACAGTCAAAAATTATTAATAACCATCAACTATTATGAGGATTCACTGTAAATTAAACTTACAAGTTCTCAGAGCCAACTGTTAGAATAATTTAGCTAAACATGGAACATTTACACGGAAACTATTAACTTTAAGGAAAATACAAAATAAAGAGACAAAAAAATACCGCTAAAGAATAAGCTTACAACCCATATTTTTTTATGATAATATTCCATACCACTAAAAAATTCTTATAAAGAAAATCAAGGGTGTGGTGAATTTCACCTCCTTCTACGGTTTACTTACAGTCGAAATACAAAACAAAATGTAAACTTTTGGCTCAACTTTGATCGCTCATAGTTCGAAAATAAAAGAGTTGCGACCCTATGTTTATGTAAAAAAATTGTGTTATTTTGGCAAATACTACATCCTAGTAAAGTTTCCCGATTAAAAACTGAACCAGAGATTACGATAAGCTTCCAACGATATTACCACATAACTATTTGCTCGAATAGCCGTCGGTCTATCGATTAATATGTATTTATGCAAAATTTAAATTTCATCTTTCAGCGAGAGTGTTTAATTAAACGAATTCCAAGAACAGATTATAATCGATATACGGTCTCTCGCAAATGACTATTTTGTGCGTATAGACTGCCAAGATATTCCATAACCACAGAACTGCTGTAAATGTATCGAACCGCTAATGATATAATACTATGTGTTGGAATGTAATACTTTTGTAACTTCCACGAATTTTTGTTAGAAAATAAGTAAAAAATTCATAGAAAATATTTTTTTTATTTGTATACCTTCAATTTATACATTTTTTAAATTTTATTAACTGGCACAACTCATATTCAAAATTATGCTCAAAGATACCAAACTATGACAGCTAGATCATAAAAAAATTATTTAAAAGCTATAGATAATGGTCAAGAACACAATTAATATTAAAACTAGTATCAATTTGAGTAGTACCAGTTCAAAACTTTACACAACCAGACTTTCATCTATTTTAAATAGCACAATCGGACTTGTGTTCGAGTAAATGTCACGAGTCGTTTTGTCCCGTTCGAAAGTGATCTTATTATATCTGTTTACAGCGCGAGCATAGAAAGAACATGATTCTGTTTGGCCATATTTGGGCGAAGGTGGGGGATTAGGACGGCAAAGAATAATTATTTTGCATAACGCGTTCGGGGTGGAAGGAAAAAGTCCTCTTTAGAAACACCATAGCAGCCTGGCTGTCATGTGTTTATTCTCACTATTTATAATAGACGCCTTACCAGACACGGTGCCGAGTCAGATAAAATATGTAAACAAATGTTTCTGTCGAGGGCTTTCATCAAGATATTGCATAACGTTATACGTTAATGTTGTTTGGATTTTAATCAAACCAGGGCGTGAGATACGTGACGTTTTGTTCAAACAATATGCGTCCTTGGTTAATAAATGGATTGTTAATCAAAGTCAAATAAAAACGGTTCAAAGAAAAGTGACTACTCCTTTTTTATTTTGACTACTAACATTTCGTTATACTAACGCCTGTTCTAATATGATTATTTTAACACTCTTATTAGACATGATAGAGTCAACCCCTTGTTGTACAAATACATATACAATTTAAATGCCATCTAAGAAAACTAAACAGTATAAAATTCTGTTATTAATTTGTTTTTTAATATAACAAATCGAAAATGCAATGTAGAAAAGAAGTGAACAGTTTATTAAAATTTTTCTATAATTGTCGTGTAAATATAGTATTAAAACTGAAGAACCATTTGATGGTTTGTAAAATAGTAATTATTTTCACCACATTTGCCAATGCCAATGCGATTTTATCGGTCGTAGATATCGTCAGTGTAGATATTTATATTTATAGGTTTACTAACCGGGCTTCATATAATACAATACGTACACTATTTTCTTTAAACGTTGCTTCATATAGTAATTTAATTTTAGACAATATTAAATTTTACTTTCAAATGTTATTTTGATCAAAGCAGTACTCTTATTGTAATAACTTTCACTTTGACTCAGCTCATTTTGCCCCACCGGAGTTAACACGGTAGTTTGTCAACCCGATTATAATTCTCTTCAAAGATGATCAACTTTTAATAGAAGAAATGACTTTTACAAGGACATTCATATTACATTCATTCTTCTAAAAAAATGATTTATCCGGTTAAGAAATGATTTGTTTTGTTTGGCCATCACATTCTCTCTCGTATAACTACTAATGTAATACAATAATAAGCATATAAAGTGAAAAGAAGTCTGAAATACAGGAAATATCTTCAAAAAGAGTTTATTCTGACAAAACCCCTTGAACAAGGTATAAAATAGAAGAAATAAGTATGTTTAATATTTGTTTACTTTTCAATGATAATAGAAATTAAAACAAGAATTATAGCATCAATTCGTTTTTTATGCAGTTGCACCAATCTTTTTTGCCCGATTTGTTTTAATTAGGTTCGAAATTATATTGCATAGCCAGCAAACTCCCGACTGTAGTCCAGCTGTGAAAAATATATTATTTTATATATATTACATATATTATTGATATATATGTAATTTGTGTCATGAGTGAATGAACATATGCACATTGTTACCAAGCAGGAACAAGTTCTAGAACACTATTTATTTATTTTTTATTTATTTATTTATTATTGGGACACAAACAGGGAGGATATCCCCAGTGAAGCATCCTCATAAAAACAAAGCACTTAACTACATACCAAGCAAAAAAACGAGAAAAGAAAAAAAAAATAACAATAATTATAACATTAACTATGAAAATAATAATAACAGCATTGATAGTTGCTAATTAAAAAAAAATTACAAAAAAAAAGCGAAAAATATTATATAATTGTACTACAATACAGAAGATAACAACTAAACGTTACGTAATAGTAATTCTCTAAATGAGCGCAACGAGAGTCCAAATAGAGTAACATGGTTGAAGTCCTGATTGTAAGTATTCAAAAGCCGAACGATAGGCGAGTTTAGATGAGCGTTCGTGTTCGATGTGCCTAAAAGGAATGTAGTATTCCGCCGCGTGAAACGCTGTGGTACATTAAAGTTCAACACAGACAGAAGATCAGGTGCGTCCAGCAAGCCATTGACCAGTTTGAAAAGAAAAATTAAGTCTGAGACTAGCCGACGCTGCCGCAGGGATAATAAGTTAAAAACCACACAGCGTCTATCGTAATCGCAATAGGGAAGATGATATTTGTAAGCCAGATAGCGTACAAAGCGTCGTTGAACCGCTTCGATGCGATCACGATAGACCGCGTACATAGGATTCCACACTATGGAACCATAGGATAATACGCTATTAACAAATGCCATATAAAGGGATTTAATGCTTGTAAAATTGGTAAACTGTCTACTTATTCTGATAACAAACCCTAGGTTACGCAGGGCTTTCGCCACCATGACTTCGATGTGAAGGTGATATCTCAATTTGGCATCAAGTATAATGCCAAGATCCTTCACTCTGTCAGTAGAGATAATAGGTCTACCATTAAAGTTGTAATTAAAATTAATAGGATAGCGTTTCCATGTAAACGTTATTTTTTGGCATTTGTCATAGTTCAAATAAAGTTTGTTAACGCGACAGTAATCATGTAGACGATCAAGGTCCTCCTGGAGCCTTAGGCAGTCATGACTAGAGCTGACTCTAGTAAATATTTTATTATCATCCGCATAGAGCAGGAATTTGGAAAATTTAAAGCAAGAAGAAATGTCGTTTATGTAAATTAGAAATAATGTGGGCCCAAGGTGACTTCCCTGAGGCACACCAGATGAGATGGGTTTGTAGTCCGACAAAAAGCTACCCATCCTAACTGCCTGACTTCTGTCAGAAAGATATGACATTATCCAGCGCACAATGCCGGCAGGAATGTTAAAGGAGGACAGCTTTTGTATAAGAATTCCATGGTCAATCTTGTCGAAGGCTTTAGAGAAATCGGTATAAATTGCGTCAACCTGTGAGTCCTCATTTAAGGTAGAATGAATAAAATTAACATAAGACACTAAGTTAGACTCAACCGATCGGCCAGACAAGAATCCATGTTGTTCAGTAATGAGAGAGTGAGCAATAGAGTGGTTAAAGTAATCGCAAACAATTTTTTCAAAAACCTTTGGAATAGACGAGATAATAGAAATTGGACGGTAATTAGATATCAACTGTCTATTCCCTGATTTAAATATTGGAACGACAAAAGCTGTCTTCCACGCGCGCGGAAAAGTACCTTCGAGTAAGGATTTTGAAAAAATAAGAAAAAGTGGGGTCGACAGTTCGGCAGCAAACTCCCTCAAAAAGGAAGATGGAATACCATCCGGACCAGAGCCAGAGGACTTGTCAAGATGGGTCAAAATATTGAGGACTGCGTCAGCAGAGAACCAAGGTGAAACACCCTGGCCACCGAAGACCATTGAGCGGTCAATACTACCATCTACGAAAACCGAGGCGAAATACTCTGCAAATGCACAAGAGATATCATGACCTGAGGTCACCATTGACCCATCAACAGAAAACATAGCGGCCGGCAAGCCAGACACATCCCCTTTCCTGGACTTAACAAAGGACCAGATTCCTTTGGGATTTTCCATAACCCCCGCCTGAATCGAGTTTAAGTAATCTCTATAATCAGCCGCAATAAGCCTCTTAGACCTGGAGCGCAAGATAGAGAAAGCCAAGTAATCACTATTATGTCGAGTAGATTTCCATTTTTTATGGTAAAGTAGCTTTTCTTTAATGACACGAATAGTTGAACGTTTGTACCAGTAAGGAAAACGTTGCTTAGGCAGAAAGCGCTTAGGAACGTCTCTGTTAATTACATAATTAACGCGGTCATAGAAAACTTCAACCATGCTCTCCACGCCCATCCCAGCAAAAACAGTCTGCCAATCGATACTATTTAAGAAACACTTGATAGCTCCGGAATTCGCGTTCTTAAAAAGAAAGCGAACATTCGGACCATCACTCAGACAAATGAACATGCCCGATAATAAGAATTCAAACGGTGGATGGTGGCAGTCAGGATCCACAAGTGGATCGTTGCAGAGGTGTATGCTTTCGACTCGACCGTTAGCGCATAGAACAAGATCAAGAATTCTATTATTAATATTCGATACATTATTAAATTGACTAAAATTACAATATGAATAAATGTTAAGAAAATCAATCGCGCGACGGTCGAAATTCCCTGTGGGAATTAATACATCATCTTCAGACATAGACCAAGAGATAGTTGGCATGTTGAAATCACCTATAATAACAATCATAATTTCCGGGTAGGCATCGCGCACAGCAGACACACTGGACAAAAACAGATTCAGCGCTTCATCAGCAGAAGGAGGAAGATAAACACAGCACAAAAGAAAAATTAGTTGACCGCACTGAACTTTCAACCACAAGTCCTCCGCACCACTTTGCAGACTCGGCATGGGAACGGTATGAAAGCCATGCTTCGCAGCTATAAGGACTCCGCCACCATCGCGCTTGGTGGAAGCCGTTGAATTTCTATCGCGACGATATACGGTATAAGATGAGTTGAGTAACTCCTTGTCGGATATGCTATCATTAAGAAATGTTTCAGTAAGGCAGATAAAATCCGCCAATAAGGCATGTGAATTGATTGAACAAGTATTAGTCTTGGATCGTAAACCACGGACGTTCTGATAATAGAAGCTGATACCCATAAACCGTTAAAAAGTGATAGGAACAACAATAAAAACGACGAGGGCCATCTTACAATTTATTCAAGTCAGACGACGATTTGATCACCAAAATCTTCGCTCTATCATCTTTCCGCACATGGATCACGCAGCTCTTCGTCCAGATATACTTGTAGTTTTTATTTCTCGCGATTTCTCGCACCTTACTAAAGAGGTCCATGTTACGAGCCGTAAGATGTTCATTAATGTAAAGATTATCCGCAACGTCGGGAATCGACAGACAACGGCCATTGGCACTGCGACGATATAATTTGGCCGCGCTAAAAATACGGTCACGTGTTATTCTGGAGGTGAACTTTACTATAATGGCCTTAGCGCGCGACTTGTCTTTTCCTGGAGATGGTCTTTGAGGCAAGCGATGAACTGCATCTATATCGGAAGCCACAATAGGAGATTTGATAGCTTCCGCAATGTTGGACACAATTTCGGGAAGATTTTCTCCTACATGTTCGGGAACTCCCGCGATGATCAGATTATTGAGCCGCGAATACTGCTCGAGGTGATCAAGGCGACACTCCGCAGCAGCTAGATCAGCCTTAAGTTTAGAATTTACAGCGACCAGCGCATCGACTTGCTTAATCTTATCACCGAAATTGTTAAGGGCTCGCTCGAAATCAGTGATTTTGTCGCCGTAGAAGGAAATTGACTTAACAATCTCGTCGTATTTGTTTGATAAATTCTTTACATCATTCTGAATAGATGATAAGAGACGGTACAGTTGAGCATTGCTAGGGCCACTAGAAGACTGGGAATCAGAGATTTCATCGTCAATTATGACGGATTTATCCAAATTTCCTCGACATTTGGAACATTTCCAAAAGACACCCCCCGCCTTAATTTGTTCAAGCGCATCGGACGAAATTTTTACGCATTTGGCGTGGAAGTTCCCGTGGCAGCCGCCGCACTGAAGGCCAGGACTCTTGGATGACAGGCGAGACGAGCAGATCTTGCACCCCGACATCGATACGGGGATTCCGGTTCCAACGACAGGACAAAGGTCAACACGAGCGAATACGACAACGCGGCGGAAGAAAGAATATGTAAAAATAGATATATTAATCCTTCGAAAAATGTTGAATGCAAAACCGAACAAAATCAAACACCACGCTGACCAGCACCCGCGGGTGAATGTAAAAAACAAAAAAGAAGCCTTAAATATAACAATCGCACAACACTACTTAGAAACTCAAGAGACGCGATTATGCGACCGTACACCTCGCACGTTTTCGCGACTATTGAAATACATAATATGCTACATCCATTTTAAAAAAGGTTTTAACACATTTTAAAGTAAATTTTTAGATAAACGTACAACAGCATAGTTTTAAAATTAATTTTGTAACTTTAACCAAATTATTGTCATAAGTTATTTAAAGAAACCGGTTCAACGGCCTACCACAAGTTCTTGAGGTTAAAATGGGTGTTTACGATTCAACTTATTTATATCCAAATTTTGCAATCATTATAGAGAGAGTTAGGATCTTAATTTTATTATTGTCCCCTATAGGTACATTCTACAATCACATGTGTACACCAATAATACCTACTTTGTTATTTCAATGGTGACCAATAGTAAACCAATTGTGAAAATATTATTCACAAAATACCCAAAGAACTATTTGTTGTGTAATTAATGATTGCTATTTTTTAATCCTTATTACAATGTATTTCATGAAATGATTAATCTATATACAAAGAACCTTAATGCATGGTTATTATCACAAACTAATGTAAAAATTCCTAATAGGTTGTTCGTTGTGCTATACTTGGCTACATAAATGTAGTACTATTTATTAATAATTAGAAAATAATATTATAAAATAACGAGGAAATTGATATCATCCATATGAAAGATTTGACAGATTAGATGAAGACAACTTAGTAAATTTGACAAATTGACTTCAGATTTATCTACGCCACAAGTTTGCTCTGAACGTTTATTCCAGACCTAGGTAACTAAGTTAAAATTGTAACCTACTTATAAGTAAATATTTTAATCAATTCACTGGAATTTAACCTTATAAATTACTACCTTATTTCCTAATGGTATTTAAAATGCTCCAGGAGAAATCCTGTTTCTCCCACACGATCTAGTTTCTTCTTTTTTCTTAGTTACTGTTTTCAAATCGTACTGGTGTTTTACATTTTCACATGTTGGCTTCACTAATTTTCTATTTACACTTTTAATTTAAGTTTAAAAAGGTTGATCTGAATACACTTAATACCAGTTTTTGTAGCTCTTTTCGGATGAAAGATTTATAAGATTCTTTAATTCACCGACTATTTCATATATGTATGAAAATGAAGTTTGTTTTTCTTTCAAATTTTAAAAGTTCAAAACATTATCTAAAATGGAACACGCCGACTAACGTTGAGCTGTTGACCAGCTGCTTCGCACGCTGGTTATTGACTAGTAGTTGGTTGCCTTTGGCAAGTTCTTGTTTCTTAAGCGTCCCCACCATCATTGCTGGCTGCAAGGAATCGAGTGTTTTGTGTTCTTGGTCTACGTCTTTTCTCGTCTAAAGGAGCCAGGTAGAAGAGCCATGTCGATGCCAAAACTGCATACCATTGATAGGATATAGAGCAACGTTATTTACACGATTACATTGTATTTATCTATTTATTGTTTTCAGAAACAACGGCAATTGTGAAAAAATTGTTAGATTTTAAAAATGAGAAATAATTTTATTTAAAAAAACTAATTCTTAAAAACTAAAATATTGGTTAAAACTATGTAATGGTTAATCACATTACTTAATGCATAATAAAGTGTGATTAAATTTAGGCTTACTGTCAGACTTTTTTAAATTATTTCAAGGAGAAATAAACCTTTTAAGAATGTGGTTTTTAGAGTTTTGAGCAATAATATATTCTGAATGGTTACATTACTATTTAAATAGTTGTTTAGTGTAGACAATTAGAAATGTTTTGTTCGTGTTGGTGTCTGGTATAAAGAAGCATTTTGTTCCTTAAAGCAAAATGACCCTAGTATCCCATACACAACAATCTTTATGACTTTGTGGGATAAAGAGTATTACTGGGGTCGCAATAAAAGAAGCAATACCGAACGTTAGGCGATGAAATCGGATACTCACTGGTCAAATATCAGAATACGACGGGGACGTAAACGGGCCATCTAGAGGCCACGGTCTGAAGCAGTAACTGCACGTACTTTATGGATGGAATGTATCGGTACGAGCAGAAGTAATCGCGAATTTAGAACCGACGTCACCGCTGTGCCAATAAAACGCTCTCGGTTCTTGTCGGACCACCAGAAGGGCTAACAGAAATTTCTGCAAGTTACGGCACAGTTAATTGTTGCAATTAATTTTTGTCATACCACCCACCGGTAAGATAGTGAAACTTACGTCCTGCGTGAGCAGTTGGGATTTTCATTAAAACCGTCGGGATGCAGCCCGTTTTATTGGTCAGGTTTTCTAGTAATTGTACGAATTTTTTGTTTGTACATTCCATGCCTACTTAGGCTTCTCTTATTGCTCCCTCTCGCCTCGTAATCTTTCGCAACGACACGACATCACGTAGGAAGAGACTGTTACTGTTGCAAACCAAAAGCTTGCGGTCGACGGAGGACGAAAAGAAAACTGGCTGCCGCTATGTTCGCGAACACAACAATGACGGACGCGCGGTCTAATTTTGCGTCATGTCACGGATTGATGTCCACTTTTACTTTTCCGTTGCGTCACACTCGGGTGGTTGCAACAAGGCCGTCCGACTGCAAACGACATCCATAATAACTAAGAATTTATCTTCTCAGGCTTTTCTTTGAAATATATTCTCCGTTTAATGAATTTTTAGTTTAAACCTATACACACACATTTTATTATTATTACGATAATGTAGTTCCCGTACAGATTGAATACTTAATTAGGCTTATTATTTTTTTTTCAGATTACCAAACATCTTTAAACAATGGCTGCAAAATCAACTGAAATTCTATTACTTTTCTTGTTAACAAACGTAAATTTTGGTACTTATTTAAAAATATGGATAATTTTTAATAGTAAATGTTATTACAGGGGTTAATCCACACTGCAAACGCAAATTCATGTAAAGTATTTGAAAATGGTTATTTTAAATATTACTAATAATTTATACAGGCTGGTTCGTTACTAATGGGACACAAAGCAACAGTGAATTCCTTACATTAAATTATTACGATTGAACCCAACTTATCTTGGTCCAATTGTTAATAATAACGAATATGCTTAAAGTTAACACTTTATTTTCGGTTTTTTTTTTCATAATTTCGCTTTTGCTTAAATTATGAACATGAAAATTAGTATATTATCATTTTTTCAGACGATAAATAATAATTTGGTATTAGTTTTGATCTATCTCTCAGATGGCGCTGCCTAATCTACCTTTATCTAACCTATCTTTTTTATCGCTAAAATGTTTACTACTCACACAACTTGAAATAGTTTCTCAGACTGTTTTATACAAATTTGGTATACTTACCAATCTTCTCCAAAGTTCTCCGTTTCCAAGATAATCACTGTTTAAGGGCATATTGCAAAATTTAACTATGCTCAATAAAAATTAGTTGGTGGTGAAAAAGTTTTTATTTACTAATGGACTAAGATAAATTGACTTAAATTTTAAAATTATTACGATTCAATCCATTTTATCTTAGTCCAATTGTTAATAATAATGAAGATACAGATTGTTAAAGTTAATAGTTTATTTTCGTTTTTCTTTGATGAAATTATCCACTGTCAATTAGCATTAATCTGGAGTATTAATACCAAATAAAATCATTTTTAACGCCAACTAATGTTTTCTGAGCATAGTTAAATTTTGCAAAGTGCCCTTAAACAGTGATTATCTTGGAAACGGAGGACTTTAGAGAAGATTGGTAGGTATACCAAATTTATGTAAAAATGTCTGAGAAACTGTTTCCAGTTGTGTGAGTTGCAAAAATTTTAACCAAGAAAAAGATATGACTACTTTGAGGGAGTTTTTTAAGGCCGGCAGTGCCATCTGAAAGATACATCAAAACTAATACCAAATTATTATTTATCGTCTTAGAAAATGCTAATTACCAATTTTCATGTTCATAATGTAAGAAAACACGAAATTATTAAAGAAAAATAAAGTATTACCTTTAACCATCTGTATCTTCGTTATTATTAACAATTGTACTAACATAAATTGGGTTAAATCGTATTCATTTAATATAAGGAATTCACTGTTGCTCTGTGCCCCATTAGTAACGGACCAGCCTGTATATATTACCGCTTGAGAAAGAAAAGAATGTTTTATACAAAAGTTACTTGACTCACCATTTTCTATTACGTAAAATTATTTTCACTTATACAGAATGTTCCATTTAGGTGTAACGGAGAGTATGTAGATTTTTTTAAATGAAACACCCTGTATATTTTATAATATTATGAATAGAATTAAATTTGTTTATACAACCGTATATGTTACTAACTCATAGCGTTCATAGTTCCTGAGATAATCAATTGTTTTTCCAAAATGTGTCCATTGCAGGATCTTTTAAAAAACGATATAAAAGCGACATTTTTTCTAATTTTGGCTTGAAACTATATCAGATAATAGTTAAAGCCAGTAGGCAGATGATAGTATCCAAAGATATTAGATACGCTATACAGCGTGGTCATAAAGCTTAGTTACTTTTGATGTTTTTCCAATGTCTTTTTCATAAGTCTTTTTCAATAGTATATATTACACTATTGTCTTTAAATTCTAAATATCAGGAAAACTATTAAAGTTAGACATATGACATACTTATCATTAATTAAAGGGAACTTGATGGGTAATTAAACCAGCACACAATATATAGGGTGTTCCATTTAAAAAACTTATGAAAAAGCCATTTGAAAAACATCAAAAGTAACTAAGCTTTATAAACACGCTGTGTAGTCTATCTAATATCTTTAGATACTATCATCTACCTACTGGCTTTGACTGTTGTCTGAGGTAGTTTTAAGGCAAAATCGGAAAAAATGTCGTTTTTACATCGTTTTTAAAAAGATCTTGTAATCGGCACATTTTGGAAGAACAATTGAATATCTCAGGAACTATAAACGCTAGGAAATAGAAAAATATACGATTGTGTAAACAAATTTAGTTGTATTCATAATATGATAAAATATATAGGGTGTTCCATTTAAAAACATTTACGTACTCTCGGTTACGCTTAAATAGAACAGTCTGTATGAGTAAAAATAATTTCACGGAGTAGAAAGTGGTGAGTCAAACAACTTTTGTATAAAATATTTTTTTATTTTTCAAACGGTTTAGTAACTATCGATCACCGGGATACTAATAACTCACCTGTATAATAATTTCTCTTTAAGCATTTCGTCAACTTATAGAAATCGAATTGCTGTCAATTAATCACATAAACGTACTAATTTTCTTAATAATACAAGAACCTTTTTCATGGAGAAATACTGCTTGTCCAAGTAATTTTTTTTCTTTAAAATTTATTTAATAGCTAACGCCGAAATTACGGGTTCACGAAGACAGGAATTTAGCGTAGATCGTATCAACACAATCTTAATAGAAATTTTAGTTGAACTTTATCAAATATCCAACATAATGAGACTACACAAAAATTGAACAAAGATATACTGCGCAGAAAGCGATTATTAATTTTTTCTTACAAAATCTAAATAAAAAGAAATAAAAGCCTTAATTGTCGTTAATTTTTTATCTGTATTTTATAATTTTATTAATTAATTTGACTGCAATATTTTTCTTGCCAGTTGTCGTGATTCATCATAAGTCTTATGATTTTAAATGCTTCTATAACAGTTTCCATTAGAAAAGAGGGAATTAGACTAATTTCAAACTTCATTTTTCTTGCCTCTGAAATCAATTAACAAATTACAACAATTTAAATTACGGCAAACAGTTTTACTTGGACAAACATCATTGCGCCATGAAAATGGTTTCGCTACAATGATAAATGCAACATGGAATATTTTCGCAACCAAGGTTTCCACTTCTAGTAGTTCATCGATTTCTATAAAATGTCATTTTTAAAAAAGATCAACTTAGATTTAAAATTAACGGAAATATATGAACTTACTGCTTTTTTGGCCGTACACTTGTACGTAACCCTTTTAACAAAATTGCTAATATTATTAAGATGGATGTAAAAAAAAATAAAACCTTACGCTTATTAAAAGAAAAAGTACTAATAAGTGAGCTTTGCTAGACTTCATTTTTGAATCTCAAATTTCATTGAAAATGTAATATAAATAATCTTATCTTCATAAATTGTACTAAGCCAATTGTAAAATATTATTTTACAACAATAGTCCATTGTTTACTTTAATAAAAAGTTATCTGTATAATAATAAAGATGGGTGTTAAAAAAAATAAAATTTTTATCATTTTCATGTTAGCAAATGTAAATAATTTTCTTTT